TGGGGTGGCAGCCCCCAGCCCGCCCGTGTCCTTGGTGGCATCCCTGGTGACAGGGAGGCTGGATTAAAATGATCCCTAAGGTCCCTTCCAGCCTGGACCATTCTATGATTCTTTGGTTCTATGATTCTGTGGTTCTATGGGTCTATGATTTTATGGCTCTATGATTTTATGATTCTATGATTCTATGATTCTGATTCTATGATTCACAGGCCTCAACGGGCTCCAGCTCCTCCGAGAGGACCCAGATGTGCTCCTGAACCTGGCCAGACCCCGCTGCGACATGTTTAACCCTGTCAGCCCCTCGGCCGGTGGCTGTGCTGAGCACTGCTGCCTGCGCCCACCCCTCAGACCAGCCCCGGGTGCCTCAGGGCCACAAGGTCGGTCGTAGCCCCCTCCTGCTGGTCGATGCCTCACATGGATGTGAGGGGCATGCGACTGCAGATTTGGTCCTTGGGTTCTGGGATGCTCTGGGCATTTCCTCCCCTCCTTGTGCCACCCACCCTCATATGTCTCCCGATCTTTCTCCTCCCCTCTGCCAGGACTTGATTTCCCGTTTTGCCATCAGTCAAACCTCACGACCGGTCACCGTGGTTATGGGTTGGTGCCAGGAACGGAGCAGCTGGGCAGTGGTGATGGTAAGTCTCCAGTTTTGGGAGGCCGTTGGGCAGGTAAGGGTCCTGCAGGGGGTTTAGGCATCTCCTGGGGACTGTGTCGACTGTGTCAGAAGGGCAGGCGTGTGCTGAATGGGCCGAGCTGTGCTGGGGACAGGGACGCCTGCCAGGAGGGACGAGGCTCCTGGAGGAACAGTGAGACTGAGTGAAGAGGAGGACTTGTGTTGGCTGCGCTCGGGGGCATCACGCGCTTTTCTTGGGATCTTGCCAGCTGTAGCAGGGAATACGTGGTGTGTCAAGGGGTTCAGGTACCCTAAGAACGCTGATGGCTGTGATAGGGAAGAGGAGACACTTTTGAGCCAGTCCGAAGCCAGCCACGAGTATGAAGTGGGACAGGAGTGGCTGGAGAGCATCCCTGCAGAAATGGCTCGGGATTGCTGATGGGCAACAGCTCAATAGGAGCCAGCCCTGGCAGCAAGAGGGCAAACCCCATCCTGGGGGGCATCAAGCAGCATGACCGGCCGGTGGAGCGGGAGGGGGCTCATCCTGCCCTGTTCAGCCTTGGTGCAGCTTCACCTGAGTGCAGTGCTGGGTCCTACTGCTTGGGAGGGATGCGAAGGTCCTCGAATGTGTCCAGAGGAGGGCAGCAGAGCTGGTGACAGGGCTGGAAGGAATGTCTGGTGAGGAGCAATTGAAGCCTCTGGCTCTGTTTCATTTGGAGAGGAGGAGGCTGAGAGCGACCTCATTGCTCTCCGCAGCTTCCTGAAGAGGGGACATGGAGCAGGAGGTGCTGGGCTCTTCTCCCTGGTATGGGACACATGGGAGTGGTTCAGAGCTGTGCCAGGGATGGTTTAGGGTGGATGTTAGGAAGCATTTCTTTACTGAGGGGGTGGTCAAACACTGCAACAGGCTTCCTAGAGAGGTGGCCAATGCCCCAAGCCTGTCAGTGTTTAAGAGGCGTTTGGACAATGCCCTTAACATCAGGCTTTAACTCTGGGTCAGCTCCAAACTGGCGAGGCAGTTGGACGAGATGATCATTTTAGGTCCCTTCTAAATGAAATAGTTCAGTTCTGTTCTGTTCTGTTCTATTCTATTCTATTCTATTCTATTCTATTCTATTCTAATCATAAGCTAACCAGCACACTCAGGATATTCCTCCAGGCTCCAAAGCACGAGGCTTGTGTCCTTGGGGGTTTCTTCAGCCTCCTAGGACCCGTGCTGAGAGGAGTACCCCCACTCTCTGCTGCCATCCCAGGCTCACGGTTCGCAACACCCCGTGGTGCAGGAAAACTGGGCAAGAAGCGGGCACTGTCCATCTCACCCCTGTCAGACTCTAGCATTGACCTGCAGACGGTAATCCGCACCTCACCCAACTCCCTCGTGGCGTTCATCAACTCCCGCTGCGCCTCTGCCGGTGGCTCCTATGGCCATCTCTCCATCAGCACCATCAGGTGGGCACCAGACTTCAGCCCTGCTGGCACGCCTGCAGCCTGTCAGTGTGGGAGCCTGAAGAGCGAGACCCAGCTTGGGGAGTGCCTGGGGTGAGGGCTGGGGAAGGCAGAAGCAGGATGGGGTGGTGGGTTAAGGGGAAGGAATGGCTGGGAGTTCAGACACCTGGAATCCCTGGCTCAAAAGACCTAAATTTCCCTCCTCTGATGGTGTCGTCTGATCATCCCTCTTGCTCTTTGCAGCCCATCACTGGGCCAGCAGAGTCCACCGGGTGAGCAGAAGGGCCAAGGCTACGCATACAGCCACACCACACCCCCGCCACCGTGTAGCTCCCGGGAACAGCTTTCCACACGCCCGGGGCTCCCGCACCATCCCCCGGCTCGTGGGACCCTCAAACACTGCCAGGTAAGGGGGCCTCGCGTCCAGGCGAGCGGTGTCTCTTGTGTAAGTGGTGTCTCAGCGCTGACTGCTTTCCACTGCCTCTGCTCTGGTAGCAGCTAAAGTTGGAGTGGAGCCTTTCTCTGAGTGTCAAATACCCAGAGGAGAGATCCGAGGGCGACGTCTCCAGTCCAGCTTCAACAGGCACCCAGGTACTTCCCAGGCCTTGAGACCCTCCACTTCCCCCGGGCTCTGTGCTCCTCCCTGGTGCCACTCCCAGCAGCAGGGAGCACAAGGGGTCACACCTGGCCGTGCTCCCCCAGGACACCTTGCTGGGGATGCTCGATGTTCGGGAAGATCTGGAGAAGGACGATGGGAAACCTGAGTCTGAGACTGTGTATGAAACCAATTGCTACTGGGACGGCTGTGCCAAGGAGTTCGATACCCAGGAGCAGCTGGTGCATGTGAGTTAGGTCCTGCCTATGTACACCCAGCCCC